GTATTATTGAAATGTGTACATGATATTAAGACATGGATGTCTAATAATTTCCTGCAGTTAAATGAGGATAAAACTAAGGTTTTAATATTAGGTTGTCCTGCACACTCGTCTCCTGCTTTGGAAGCTCAGTTAGTTCCACTTTCAACTAATGTACGCAAACAAATCAAAAACCTTGGAGTGATTTTTGACTCCTCTCTATTTTTTGATAAACAAATTAGTGCTGTTATTAGAGCAAGTTTTTTCTATTTGAGATCTATTGCAAAGTTGAAGCATCTTCTTTCAAGGAAGGATATGGAAGTTGTGATTCATGCACTTGTTACATCTCGATTGGATTATTGTAACTCTCTTTATTCTGGTCTTCCTCAATCTTAATTTTCACGATTGCAAGCTGTTCAAAATGCTGCGGCAAGACTTTTGACTGGGTCAAAAAAGAGGGATCACATTTCTTCTGTTTTATCATCCCTTCATTGGCTTCCCGTTAAATTCAGGGTTGATTTTAAAATTCTTCTGTTTGTTTTTAAGGCACAAGTCTGGTTGTGCACCAAGTTTTATCGCTGAACTTCTTGTGCCATATTGTCCTGCGAGGGCACTTAGATCTTCGAGTCACTTGCTTCTAACTGTACCACGGTGTCGGTACAAATCAAAGGGTGATCAGGCTTTTTCTGTGGTTGGCCCCAAGCTTTGGAATGGTCTCCCCTATCATGTGAGATCTGCTCCTTCTTTGGACATTTTTAAGTCTAGACTTAAATCTTATTTTTACTCTTTAGCCTTTGTATGTGTGTAGTTGTTGTTTTTATTAGTAGATTTGTTTGATCACTGTAAAGCACTTTGGATCAGTTTACATTGTGTTTAAATGTGCTTTATAAATAAATGTTGTTGTCGTTATAATTCAGTATACATCTGGCAATTCTGACTTTTTCTCAGAATTCTGAGTTTGCATCTGGCAATTCTGACTTTTTTGCTTAGAATTCTGAGTTTATATCTCACAATTATTATTTTTTCTTAGAATTCAGAGTTTACATCTGGCAATTCTGACTTTTTTCTTGGAATTATGAATTTACATCTCACAATTCTGACTTTTTTCTTGGAATTATGAATTTACACCTCGCAATTCTGACTTTTTTCTTGGAATTATGAATTTACATCTCACAATTCTGACTTTTTTCTTGGAATTATGAATTTACACCTCGCAATTCTGACTTTTTTCTTGGAATTATGAATTTACATCTCACAATTATGACTTCTTTCTTGGAATTGCATGCACATGCAGAATTCATAGAAAAAAAGTCAGGAATGTGCCATGTAAACTCACAATATTAGCAAAATATAAGATGCAAGATATAAGCTTACAATTCTGAGACAATTTCTGAATTGTGAGATATAAGTTGCCTTTTAACTTTTTATATATTTTTATTCTTTGGCAAAAAATAAGGTTCCATAGATAGCAGACATCAAATAATTACATTTCCTATTTCCTGGGATTAGAAACAGAACAAAAAACGAGACTTTTTGCAGAACATAAAAGAAAATTGTTGCAACAATTGTTGTGAATGTTACTAGCTAATAGCATTATTATTTTGTTCCTACAATTTTTAATTCAAAGAACATAGCAGATTTATTAAAACTTAAACTAAAATTCAAATTAAAACTAAAATATAAAAAATTTAAGCTATTTAAAAAACCTTAATGAATACTATAATACTATATAAATAATATGAAAATAACAGTCCACAATTGACTGTAGTGACCGTGTTAGGTTACACTAAGATGTGTTTCTGGCTCTCTGTTGCGCCAAACAAACTAAAATGTAGGGCTGCCCCCTAATAGTCGAGGCTTGGTCGGCCAAAATTGTATCAGTCGCAGAAAAAAATTTAAATAAAAAAAAAATCCACAGGCAAAGTCAAGCAGTCCATGACGGACAGATCAGAACCTAGAAAAATGTGCGCTATTGAAGTGTCTGTGCGGAGTATGAAAGCTGAACAGTAGCGATCACTGCAGGACAGATGAAGGCGCCGGTGTGCTCACTTGCTCTTAAAATACTCCCTCATTTTTGGTCATACAGATAAGAGTAATACATATTTCGAATCTGTAAAGACTCAACGTTTATTTGTGTGCACTCACAATAACAACAAAATGAGCTTTTGTAAAATAATGAAAGCAAACAGGATGCTCTTTCTGCCACCTCGGTCTCTCTGAACTTGAGTGCGAAACTCCAAAACTCTGATTATGTAATTTGTATGAAACATGCACACAGGCGCATCACTACTGTGGAGATGACGAGTCAGCGTCGCCGACTTCATCTCTTAATCTAAAACCAAAGAAACACTAGTGTATCAATACATTATTAAAATGTTAATGCAGCCTCCTTACTGTTTTTCCCTGACACATTCATAATCATTACTTCTGTCGGTGCGCTGTGGCAAGCTTTATGTGTGCGCTTGAGCGCTTAGGCTATGTGGGCGATTAGTCGACTAATGCTTCAAATGAATGACTACTAGTCGACCAGAAAAATCTTCAGTTGAGGGCAGCCCTACTAAAATGAAAAAAAAAAATTGGTTTTTAATCCCTGATTATTTATAATAATCGCAACATATAATTCTTCCATTAAATTTGACTGTTTTCAGTTGCCAAGCAGTGTAGTAACTTAAAAGTTTAAAAGTAAAAGTTTAAATCTGCAAATTTACAACATCTGATTTTCAATAGTGAGTGACTCATTCACTCAGAATTTAAAGCCAGGCTCTCACTCTAATAAATTGTCATAACACACACCTCCTGCTAGAACCGGTCCTCTGCAGTTCCCCAGACTCCCGCACCAGGCTGCCCTTACAGCAGATGACCCGCAGTTTGTTCTGATAGGACGAGGCCAGATAGATGGCACCAGATGATATGGCCGGACCCAGATAACGTGGGTTAGGAATGTCCAGGTGAACAAGACTGGGAGGCCTGTTTAAAAGAGGATTTAGTGTCACACTCTAGTTCTAAATGTTATTCTTGCTGTCTTATATGCAGGCATTTTTGCTGTACGTCCTACCCAAGAGCTGCATGTCCCTGAATCTCAATAACATCCAGCGAGTTGAAGTAGGTCACAAACAGATAGGGCTCTCTGAATGCTGGAAACAGAAGATGCTTCAGTTAGTGATCCTGAAGATCCTCATCACTATGTTTTACACATTTCGGTTTGTTACAAATGGAAAACTGGCTACCAAATGTCAGGGGAAGTCGACTCCACTTGAGATCATCAGGGCGACTTCTTTGACCGTAAGCATCCACAAACACACCAATCTCTGTTATCAGAAATCAGACATTTAAAGAAAAACAATGTAGAAAATCAATACAATTTAAGTGATTTGCACAACACAGAATTTCTGGGGGGAAAAAGCACAGAGCACTGTTAATGTAAATAAATTAATAAATTAAGTTTTAACCACTTAAACAGAGTCAAGAATATTTAAATGGAGAAAAAATATGGAATCCAGAAAAATTAAAATGGAAAAAAATGAATTTGGAAAAAAAAAAAAATGACTGGGGAAAAAAAACTAAAAGAAACAAATTTCGTAGGACTGCATTGTCTGCATATGCCTACAATTTTAATAGAGTATGCAGTTAGTAACAAAGAATACTGCATAGTACTGCATTGTCATCGTATGAAATGTTTAATTCAGCAGCTGACGGCATCCAGTGAAGAGAAATTAAATATAACCAGTTTTATAAATAGGGTTTTATAACTGAAATAGACAGTTATTTGGCAAATTTAATCAGAGATTTAAAAAAAAAAAAAAAGTTGTAACTTTTGGCAAATCGAATAAATAGACTGTTTTTTGTTCATTTGTCAGATTGAAAACGGAAAGTGAAGTAAAGTGTTGCAATGTGATCAAATAGAGTATTTAAACGTAGCCATAGAATATTGTCTTACACTTGCACAAAAAAATTGCATTTGGTACAACATGACTGTGAGTACGTAATGATTTTGTATGAACTGTTGCTCATGCAACTAATATTCTCATGCAACAGGAACTTGCTGTAGTTTAGATGGTGTGATGGGTGTCTGACCGTGGAAGCAGAGCAGATATTCTTCCTTCTGCGGAGTGCTGGACACCTGGACGATGGAGATTGGGAAACAGTGGGAGGATCCAGTGAACACAGCCGATGCCAGCGACACGTCATTCTTGTCCAGGAACTCTGCCAAAAACAGCCCATCAAAACGCTGTTTACATAATGCACAATTACAAATTATAAGTGCCTGATCATGTTCTCACAAATGGTCCGCCAGCCGGTCCAACCTGGAATATGCAAATGTTACTGCAATGACTAGCTGAATCCTTTTCAATAACAGATCCATCACAGGAGATATCAGACGTCAGTAGATTGTAGATTGACCTGAAGGTTAAAAACAATCATCTAACTGCGCCCACAGGACGTCATTGATATACTTACCATCCAGAACACACTGCTTCATCTCAATCTCGTAGAATTTATTGGTACCAATGATGATGCTGTAGCTGGTGAAGTGGACGCAGCTGCACGGCTCGAGCGTTTCAATCTCCTGAGAGATAAAGAGACAGATCAGTAGGGGTGTGTTTGTGTGAGCGATCTCTGGAGTCAGACCAGAAGGCAACAGCACGTCAAACATCGCAGCTGTTTGCAAAGGAATGACATTGCTACATTTTTTGTGACATATGAGTTATTTTGCTTCAAGTCCCATAACCTCGAATGTCACTTACCTTCCGTATACAGAATTTGTTCAGATTGTCGTTGTATCGTAGAATTGTGACTTTGTTAGGCATTGCAGCACAAATGCACGGACCATTTTCTATCTAAAGCAAGAATAGATACAAAATACCATGTAAGGTACAAATTTGTTGCATTGCACGTCACAACAAGGCATGATGCAACACAGTGCACTAAAAATACACAGAAAGGAAGTTGCAATGCAGTGAAACACACGGTGCCTAAAGCCTCACCCTGCCCGCGGCGAACAGATGACAGCCCTTGACGGTCTCAAAGATGTACGGCACAATCTCGGGTAGCGTGGGGAGGTGAGACTGGGACAGAGACTGTTTCACTTTCTTAATCTCCATCAGACACAGTGCCCGCTCATCCCCTGCAACACATCATCATAATCAACTTACTTTAAATGCATCCTTTGTCAAACAGTACTGGGCTGTTACTATGGTACAGTGATGGTATTATGCAAGAAGGTATCTTGGGAGGAGTGAGGTGTCCAAGTCACAATATCTAACTAGTGGGGTGCCTCAGGGCTCAGTTCTTGGACCACTTCTCTTCTCTGTCTACATGGCATCATTAGGTTCCGTCATTCAGAAACATGGTTTTTCATATCACTGCTATTCTGATGACACTCGACTCTACTTCTCCTTCCATCCTGATGTGACGATGATAGCTGCTCGCATCTCAGCATGTCCATCACCTTCAAATCAACCTTGCCAAGACAGAACTGCTTATGGTTTCAGCCAGCCCATGACTTCATCACAATTTCTCCATCCAACTAGGCGCATCAACCATAACACCTTCCAGGACAGCCAGGAACCTTGGAGTTGGACCCTCTAACACTAGCGTTCACTATTCTTTTTCTATTCTATCTACTTGTTTTTTATTTATTTAAAAAAAAAAAAGCTTGCTACATGTACTGCGTTAGACCAACCAGGACTTGTCACAGCACTTATATATTGTTGCTCTTTTGTTGGTTTGATTGCTTCTATTGTCCTCATTTGTAAGTAACTTTGGATAAAAGTGTCTGCGAAATATCATGGTATTTTGATCTAATGATTAGCATATTAACGTACCAAGGTATTTGCATAGTTCTTTGTGTTGCCAGCGCCATGCTCTACTGTTTGAGCTATGGGAATACTTTAAAGAATAAAATAGTATTATCATGGTACTTAGTACACAAATGCATGATATTAAGGTCTAAAAAAACAACAACAAAAAAACAGTATACCATGTAGGGATATGCCGGTATCAAATTTTCATGTTGCGGTTAATTGCTAATGTTTTTATCACGGTATACGGTATTATCGCGATATTGAGATTTTGTTTCAAAAAAGTGTTGTCATAATACAGTATAACAGGTTTAATAACTTTTTCTTATAACAAATATAGCTGAACTTTTAAATACAATAAAGCAATACAGAAAAAATGTATAAAGTAAAAAATTCTACACAGATTAAAGTGCAAAAGAAATATAAAGACCAATAGGTATCACTTTACAATAAGATCTCATTAGTTAACCTTAGTTAATGCATTAACATTCACAATGAGCAATAACTACATTTGCTACAGAAGTTATTAATCTTTGTTAAAAATACAATTCTTAGTTCACATTAGCTCATTAAATAACACAGTTGCAACTTTTGATTTTAACACGTTATTAAATATTGGAATCACCTAAGATTAATGAATGTTTAGAAGAATTTTTAATTGGCAGTTTATGTTAACTAATGAATTAACTAATGTTAAATAATGAAGCCCTAATGTAAAGTGTGACCGAACAATAAAGAATCAAAACACTTTCAAACAATAGGCTATCTAGGGCATGTTGTAGTCCAGATTAAAATGTAAAAAGTTTTGAAAATAAATAGCCTATTAAGTCTAAATATTTAAGTATTTGGCACTGTGATGAACACCATAGCGAATACAAAAATCTGAATGGCTGTTTAAATCATTTAAATACATTTCAGAAACAGAAAGTAGCACTTTGTTTACGGGTTTCCAGGGTAATGGCTGCATTTCTGCTGTTCAACGCCATCTGCTGTCAGAGAGTGAATGTGCTTTCATCCAGAGCGTCTCTCATGCGTTCTGCCATGTGCTTGTCATCCGTGGTTGTTTACATCAGAGTGCACATGCGTCTTTGATGCAGCATACAGCGGTGTTGTGCATTGTGACCAGTTGATGGGAAAAGTATTCTTAAAATGCATTCAAAATTTGGAATAATTTGTAATAAATAATTATTCTCGGTATTTTGAAGTGCCCACGATAACAATATCGTGCATATTCATTACAGTGATATATCGCATTACCGAATACCGGCACATGTCTAATACCATGCTAATTTTCTTTTGTGCTGTTGCAAAATCCATTCAGTTTTGGTTTCTGAAACGAGCAGTAAATGATAGTGATCTTTGCTCACCCACGATCATCAGCAGCTTGTCGTGCTCCTTGATGATATGGATCTGAAACACGGATCCCATACCCGGGATGTGAGTGAGGGAGTTCTTAATCACATTCAGGGCATAAAGCCCTTCCTCAGAGCCCACCAACACAATCTGATGACAAAAACAAGATGACGGTATATTAAACTATAACAAATATAGACTGAAAATAATGAAATCTTGAAAATTCAAAGCAATTGTGATATTAGTGGATGACGCAGGTACCTGGTCAGTCAGCGGGAGGGTGCAGTTGATATCCAGGCGATCATCTCCTTCTAGCTTGAGTAAGGAGTTACCCAACAATTTCTGTACAGAACCACAAACACCATCACGAGGATGTGACCAGTATGTTTAAAAAGTGCATTTTTTCATTTGATGCACTTCGCAGAGCTTTTAGGATTATCAGTATGTTTCCCTGCTTCCCACTGTACTGGTAAGAAGAAACAAACCTACAGTTTCTGCCTTACATGTCACTGCACTGACTCTTTAAATGTCACTATGAATGGTCTGTGGGTGTTTCTGGTTCCTCTCACTCACGGCGTCTGCTTCGGCTTTCTCTCTCGCCCCACGACTGCTGGCCACAATGGCTTCCAGCACGGCCACCCAGCGCTGCTTCTCAGAAAACCCTGAGGTCATGAGGTACAGAGTCTGACCGGGCCAGCATGTCGACTGCGGAGACGACTCCAACTTCAGCACATACGGCACATCTGAACACATACAAGTATGTCAGGAGACAGAAAAACATGTTACATCTGGACATGGACTACTTTCTGAATCCACATTCAGCATACCAAAAAAGTTAGTAAGGACATAGTACAGTGCAATTCCACAGGCATCACCTGTCTTGGCCGTGTTGGGCAGCTCAGAAGCACTGACAGCAGAATGAACAGTCACGTCTCCATCAGAGAGACACAACTCAAACTCATCCAGCGGTTTCACCGACTCTGAGAGGACAGATTATACATCATTCACATCAAGGCACATCATTCTATACCTGTCTATCCCTGCTGGAAAACAGATAAAACTAGACTGATTAAGGCAGCGACTAGTGTAAAATGGTTTCTAGCTTGTCCATGTTGGTCATTTATGTCCAGTCCCAGCTTTAAATTCAACCTAAGATGGTGTTATCAATTTCAAATCTTAATCTTGGTACACAGAATAAAATAAATTTAACAACAACAAAAAACAAATTAGATATAAAATATGCAAGTTTACATAAATTAGAAAAAAATGTTAGAAGTTAGTGTTAGAATGTTAGAAGTGTGGTCGGATCAATCATGACGGCATCATCTCTGGCCATCAACCTGGTTTCCGATGGTTAGGCTGGTTTGGACTGATGGTTTTAGAGGGGTTTTGTTAGCTGCTCTGGTTTGGAGACCATCAGACCTCCTTAAGCTGGTTTAAGATGTCTAGATTGTTGATCAGGAGGAGCTACCAACTTGATTTGGTAGACCAGCCTGGTCAAGATGGTTAAAGCTGGTAACCACCTAGATTTAGTCAAAACAAGCTACCACTATCCAAAGACCAGCTTGACCAGGTTAAGCTAGTATGAATAAAGATTTTCCAGCAGAGATGAACAGTTGCTCTGTAATAATATGCTGTGTGCAAACAGAAAAGTCCAAGAACTGAGCCCTGAAGCACCCCAGTAGTTAGATTGGGAAAAGTAAAAACATTCACAGACCGTCTCTTGGTTCTGTCTCGTAGGTGATCACTTTACATCCATCCAGCACCACGTACTTCCTCTCCCAGCCCTGACCACGCTTTCCATTTCTGCAGGAGGACAACCACAATTCCATGTACACTTAGTGCTTGCTTCTCTTCTGATGGTGTTCATGCTCATGGCACACGGCTCACCTGGGCTGCTTCAGCCATCCTTCCAGCCTCATATGTCCACCAACGTCTTTCAGACCAGAGGTGCTTCCCTTTTCCTGACACAGAGCCTCGGACAGGTGCAGCGCATACTCTGTGGGCACGCCGCAGGTGGCTGGAAGGTACGGGGAGCATTTTGGGTGGCACAAAGCGTGACATTCTGAAGCAGCAGAGAGAAGATGGTTAAACCAACACAGAAAGAGGATCAGCATCTTCAGCATTAGCCCAGGTTGACCTGATTGGGTCAGCGATCTATTAAGAAACAACAGTGGGCCCTTTTCACATTTCTGTGTTTTTTAGAAGCACAAGTCATCATAGTAACTTCTACAGTGGTGAACAAACAATACGACAAATAATTATTGCATTCCCATGAGTGCCATTATCAAAAGAAATAAAACCCAACATGACTTTCCGAAAGAAGAAAAAAATATATACATTTGCTCAGCCGTTATATTAGATACACTAATGCAGCAGCATTGACTAGTTTTCAGAAATGTAATGCAATTTAAGGCAATATAACAAAAGTGTAATATATTCACTATTTAAAAAAAAAAATATATATATATATATATATATATTTTTTTTTTTAAATAGTGAATATATTACACTTTTGTTATATTGCCTTAAATTGCATTACATTTCTGAAAAAATATATTCTCTCTATAAAAAAAAAAATATATATATATATATATATATATATTAAAAAACTGCTATATTTTAATAACTTATAATCACTTGTCAGAAAAGGGATCATGCCTGAGAAGGAACAGGAGGAAAAACATTTTTTTCTAAATAAAAAATATCTATTTCCATTTTCCATTATTTGGAAATGGAATTTTTTTCCTATTCTATTTAGAAACTCATCACACATAGTTAATATAGGGTTGCAAAGGGGCAGAAAATGTCAAACATTTTCTACAATTTTCCAATTCTGTAAAGTTTCCAGAAATTTTTGGAAACTTTCTGCCTTTTTGCATCCCTAAAGTAATTTGTTTCCTGAAAAAATGACATCTTGCAATGGAAGAAAGCACATTTCACTTGTGTAAAATGTATAATATGTAAAAACAACTTAATTTAGCTTCAGGTTTTACAGGGTTGACAGGAAATAATAAGAAAGAAAGCGACTAAAGGAATCATTTATTTACTAAACAAATTAAACCAAACAATTATGATTCCCTTTTTCACAACATAAAGTGTTAACCTGTACTTGTTACTTAAGCTATTTCTACTTAGTTTAACCCCCAAAAATTTTTTTTGATGGTATCAAAAATGTAATTAGGCTGATTCAGTGATGTTACATTAATATACTTTTTATTTTTTAATAATACTTTTGACTTGAACATTTTTTTTTTAATTCGTGTAAAAAGTCATATTGGCACATCCCTACTTGTAAGTACAGTGACAATGTATTTGGAAATGGTCTACATGTAATCCGTACCGATGCATGTCGCGGCTTGCCGTCCAAAATGGACGGTGTCCAGACAGACGGTGCAGCGGGCCGCCCTCATGTTGAGCCCCTGTGTGAAGCGGTGAGCAGTGTTGTGATGAATCCTGTCCTTCACACGTCTGGTGTACTCTACAGGATCAAACAAACAAATGTACTTTCTTAGAAACCGTCTTGTGTCTTTTATGCCCGTCTATATAACTTATGCAAACAGGCCAAAGCAAGCTGAAAATGTCCTCTCCTGAGAACACTTCTCCACCAGAGGGTGAAACCAGCTCTGAGAACACCAGCATCACTGTACTGTCCAAGCTGTCATTGGTAGCTTGGGTACGAGCATGCAAGGATTTCGGAGTTCTGGTATTCCGCATGGCATACAGCAGGAGTATGGCCATATATATGAGATAAGCTCAGTGTCCTGACAGATCTGTGTGCAGGAGTTTTGGAGATCCACAATCATTTCATGATGTCCTGAGTGGAAGTCTGCAGTCATCAAACCATGATGACCTTCGTTTAATATATTGGGTGTAGGACAGCCAAAAGAGTTCAATTGAAACGTTTCCTTGAATGACATGTTTGGATTTGGCCAGAGAGCTTATCTCTGCAGGGATATAAAGATCATATCAAGAAAGAAAAGATATTGGAGAGACGCCTGCTTCATTCTCAGAAAACGGTGCCATTTGTGTCCCCATGACTGAACACTGTCACATTTAAAACATATATTTGAAATAGTAAATATACAAATACATGTATTTTATATATATATATATATAAAATACATATTTTTCAAACCTATATTATATATATTTCAAATATATTTGTGTGTGCGTATGTCTGTGTGTGTGTATATATATGTATGTACACACAACGGTTAATATATTTATAATATATTAATAGTATGTATAATAAAAACATTAATAGTATGTATATAACAAAAAAATTCTAAAATGCTTTATGCATTTAATGTAATAATGCAGAATGTGTCTGCTGTGAATGTGAAACCTTTCTGAAATTATATTTGAGAAATGGTGTCAAAGTTTTTCTGACCATATAGTTCAAACAGAAGTTTGTTAGTTGTATCTGTATTTCATGATTTTTAGGCATATATCAGCCTAATCTTGAAGGTTCATCAGTAACCTTTAGAAATAAAAGTGTAAATAATTAAATAAAAAATCCTGATATTTCAAGCACAAATGGCATGGTTTCTTGAGAGTGGGCCGCCTGAGCCTGTTATGTAAGAACTTACTTTCAGAAGTGGCTCTCCTTATTTCTGTGAAACGACAACAGAGGACAGTGAGTGTGGACAGACATGAGCCAAAACATTTCTGGAGTCCTTCAGAGGACAGAGCCTCCTCATCTCATATTGAAACAGCATTAAATATGCATCAAATCAGCATTTTTCTACAAGCTTCTGATTTAATTTCCCTTTTCATAGCATGAGACGAAATGGCAAGAAGGACCAAGAGAACACAATTGTTGTTTTGCTTATGTTTTGAATATTAAAAAGGTTGCAAAAGCTCTGCGTCTGGCTTCAAACCTTCAGGATTGGCGGCGTCCTTCCTGCGGCCGGAGCTGGACGACATCAGGCCGCTGCTGGGCTGGTGCTCGGGGGATTTGTTGGATTTGGTGGACATCATGAGCTGCTGACGAGCCAAACCCGGGGTGGCTGGAGTACCGCTGTGCTCCAGAGCTTTATTAAACTGAACTGTTGAGAGGAGAGAATACAGTGAGACGGCAGAGAGACTATACTGAGAAAACCAGCATGTCTGACAACATTACACTCAGTGTGTGGCATGTTTGCTTATTGTTTAATAGAATGTGTCATTTAAAAAACCCTTTATTACACTACCGCTTAAAAGTCTCTTCTGCTCACCAAGGCTGCATTCATTTGACAGCTAAATATTATTACAATTTAAATGAATTCTGTATTGTAATATATTGTAAAATGTAATTTATTCCTGATGCGCAGCTGAATTTTCAGCATCATTCCTCCAGTCTTCAGTGTCACGTGATCCTTCAGAAATCATTCTAATATGCTGATTTGCTGCTCAACAAACAATTCTGATTATTAGCAATTTTGAAAACAGTTGTGCTGCTGAATATTTTTGTGAAACAAATTTTTGTTCATCTTTTTGATGAATATAAAATATTCAAAAGCAACAATTTGCATTTTAAAGCAATATTTTTACTTTCACTTTTGATCACTTTAATGCATCCTTGATGAATAAAACTTACTATTATTAATACTTAAGTATACATATTATTAAAAACCTTAATCTTTTAAACAGTAGTATATATTGCAATAATTGTAATTATAGTCTATAAAAACATTATTATAATATAATATAATTAATTGTCTGCATTATCATCCTTTCTAGTCGGAATTCGGGTCTTCTAAACTCTAAAAACATTTTCCATGTAAAAATGCAAAACCATATATACCATATAAAACTAAATTAATATTAACTTGTATTTAAAATTAAACTATCAATCTTTCACTGTCTTTTCTGAAATTCTTTATGTGCTTTGTGTAAAAATCTGCCCCTAACTTTCTTTTAAACTCCATTATGCAGTGACATTTCCCTATTTAAAAACATTTCTGACAACATTTAAGAGGAAATTACATTCAAGTCTTTCAAGCAGAAGTTTCTCTTTTGCTTTTAATCTGTATTTCATGATATTTATGCTTATCTCAGGCTCATCTTGAAAAAAAAAAAAAATTACTTTCTTCTGAAGAACAATTTTATGATTCTGTTTCACTTTGCTTTTGTGTAATTGTCGACCAAATTTTAGTCCCTGCTCATTGTAACACAAGAAAACAAGCAACCAGTTTCCAAATGTAACACATGTATCCAAATGTATGATCGTCTCACCCTCTCTGAGCTCCAGGCGTGTTTTCTGCAGGGCTTCCTCCAGCTCCGAGCAGCGAGCGCGTTCCTTCTCCAGCGCGGCCTTCAGGTCGCTGTACTGCAGGGGGACAGGGGTCACGGCGGGCACCTGCGTCTGTCCCTGTGCCGCCAGCGCCGCCAGAAGATCCTCTCGACGCCTGCCGCCAAACAGCCCCTGCACCCAAAACACGAGAGCAAGTGAATCGCCCAGGCTCACGCCCACAGACACGCTAGGACTCTATCCTGCCATTCCATCCCTACATATCCAGGTAGGTGTCCCTTCCTACAACTCACTTATTCAGGGCTTCTGTATATATGAATATATATGAGATTTCTGACGGATGACGCGGTTAGTATGCAGTTATTTGCGTGTGTAGCTCCAGGGACACCTAATGCGCAGCTCAGCAAGCAGTTAGTCAGATTAGTTAATGAAGTGAATTTACAGCGGATGACTCTGACCTTTTTCTTCTTAGAGGGGTGCTCTACCTTGGCCTGCAGGAAGTCTATGAGCTTGCTCTGCTGGGTGATGGTCCCCTCCATCTTGACCTTCTCGTGAGAGTACGCCGCCTGCAGAGGGAGCCATACTGCTATTGGAACACAACTCTGTGTTTGGAATGGAACACTAGCATTCCTGCCACCGCATACAATTTTTAAACAGCATGCAGTATGCAACAATTTTAACCTGTATAATATGGTATTAATGCAAAATTAAATGTATTTAATTTTGCATTATTTAATCCAATTTTGTGTGAAAATGTCCTAACTTTTGACAGCTATATAAAATACATTTATATAAAATTTAATAATTAAAAATAAATGTAAAAAATACTTTGTAAGATAAATAAAAATATTTATATAATAAAATTATAATCATTATAATTAGTTAAAACTATAAAAACATTATAATATATACATTTTCATTAACTTAAACTAAAACCTTTTTACATTAAAAAAATTACTTGAAATAAAATAAACATTAACTGAATTAAAATATCACAGTAAGGTGCCAATGTGACATTCATTTAGTTAAATTTGAAGTACTAAAATAACTAAAACTGAACGAAATAAAATTAAAAGAAACTGTTTAGATAAAAAATTGACAAAAACACTCAATGAAATTTAAAAACTTGGAAAAAAATTAAAACAGAATAATAAAAAATCTAAATATTAATAAAAGCTATAATTGTGTATTGATAATACTAAAATAATCCTGATACAACATACTGTATACAGAGCAGCAAATAGTGTTATTTTTAAAAATAGCATGCAGTGGGCGTTATGCTGCAATGCTGTCACCTCGCTATGTTGCCCGTTTAATTCTGTAAGTAGATGGTTATAATCTCAGAAATAAATGGTTATTTTTTTAACCAATTTTGTGCAATTCATCACTCTCGAAATTAAAGTTCAAATAGAGCACACTGCACTGTGGAACTATTATGGTTGCAAACTGTGCATTTTGGCAACTACAGTAGCTGATCTGGGGACAGAAAACTGCGCATACTATACACAGCATACATACTACATGCCTAGTAAGAGTAGTATGGTTGACCGCCATTCTAAACACCCAAAGCTACTCTTCTGCAGTAAACATGGGTTCAGGCGTATGTGTGCACCTGTATGTTTTCCAGCTGGTACTCCAGGTCTGTCCGCTCGGTCTTCAGAAGGTCCGTCTGGTCCAGCGCGTCCTGAAGTCCTTGAGTCAGTCTGAAGATGTGGCTCTTCTGCATGTCCAGCTGCTGCTGCAGTTTTGCTTGCTGAGAGAAAACATACACTGGTTATGGTAAGGATGCACGATTACACACGTGCATGTTTTGAGTGCTAGTAAAGTGAAGCACCTCGTCCATGAGCCTCTGTTTGAGCTCTCGCTCCGTCTCCAGCTTCTGCTGCAGGCTGTGTGCGTTCATCTCCAGCATGGCGTGTTTCTTCTCCAGATCACTCAGCTGATGAAGATAGAGCATGGTGGGAAATTAATGGGGGCTTGTTGCAAAAATGGCCCACAAATTCAAGATAATACGACAAAAAAATGGGGCATAAACAACAAACCTCAGATACAATGTAAGAGCTTAATTACGTCATGGAACAACTTGTTTGTCTGTGTAGAGAATACACCAGAATATGACATTCTCCAAACACAAAATTGTTTTTATAAATATTTCATTAATCTACATTAATAATAATTTTTACAATATGAGTTCAGTTCATATTTATTATTATATATTATTATATAAGCAATAATAATTCAGTTTTTTTATTTATATTTACATACAACTTTAATCAGTTTTTTGTTATTGCTGTATTCAGATTCATTTAAGTAATTGGTTAAATTTAACCCTCTGGTGCTGCTTGTGTGGCGATCAAAAATCACTGATTTGTTTTTCAATTAAATATATGTTATATTTTAGTTCGATATATATATATATATATATATTTTTATATTTGATATTTTTTGGTGATTTTATAGTACTAAATTGTATTTATAATATATAGTTATGATCAACCTGTTAACTTTTTAAGCATAGACATGAAAATGAAATTTCCAACCTAAACGTAAATCTTGAATTCTTTGGAGCACAGTCTTAAGTTTGGTCTCTTTTAAATGAGACACTTGGCAGATTTTTGCTGAAGTGAAAAAAAAAATGTTTTTTTAAAGTTTCTTATTATTATTATGAAAAAGATACAAATATACTATTTTATATTTTTATATGAATGTATATTTTCCAAAAACATGAAGAAAATCAAAGCCATAAATCTAAACGAGCTATGTTCCAAATTTGAGGTTGATATCTCAAAAAATGACCTTAAGAGTTTAGGCACAATACCAGGACTTCTTTCAGGACCATTTAACCATTTCAAATCATGTCTGTGTTATTTTGTCTTATTTTTGTGTGTGTGTGTGTGTACTTGTTTATGCTACATTGTGGGGACCCCACAAGGATAGTAAAACCTGAAATGTTTGATATTATGAGGACCGGCCTGCGGTCCCCATGAGGGAAAAAATGATAAAAAAAATAGCAAATGATGTTTATCTGAAAGTGTAACAATGCAAACGAAAGGTTTTCTGTAAGGGGTAGGTTTAGGGTTAGGGGATAAAAAATATCGTTTGGTCAGTATAAAAGTAATAGAAGTCTATGGAAAGTCCCCACAATTCACAGAAACAAACGTGTGTGTGTGTGTGTGTGTGTGTGTTCACAACTATTACCAAGTTTTGTACCATTCCATACCAAAAATTCTAAAGGAAAAAAATAAAATAAAAAATGACCAAACTGCACCAGAGGGTTGACAACACAGATACAATTAATAAAGTAATATAAAAATTTCCCTTATAAAGGTAAAAATGCCCCTGGAAATCAATTCAAGAGGGTAAATATTGCCCCTTAATGGAAAAGTTCATTTCTGACCCTGATACAGAATAAGTATTGCTGTTGTCATTAAGCAGGTGTTTTTATCCACAGTGACGCACGAGCACTGGCACACTTACCGTATCAGAAAGACCTTCAGCTTTGAGTTTCTGGTCTTTCAGGGCCTGTTGCAGAACAAAATAGTAAATGATGTTTATCTGAAAGTGTAACAATGCAAACAGGTTTTCTGTAAGGGGTAGGTTTAGAGTTAGGGGATAAAAAAATATTGTTTGGTCAGTATAAAAGTAATAGAAGTCTATGGAAAGCCCCCACAATTCACAGAAACAAACGTGTGTGTGTGTGTGTGTGTGTGTGTTCACAACTATTACCAAGTTTTGTACCATTCCATACCAAAAATTCTAAAGGAAAAAAATAAAATAAAAAATGACCAAACTGCACCAGAGGGTTGACAACACAGATACAATTAATAAAGTAATATAAAAATTTCCCTTATAAAGGTAAAAATGCCCCTGGAAATCAATTCAAGAGGGTAAATATTGCCCCTTAATGGAAAAGTTCATTTCTGACCCTGATACAGAATAAGTATTGCTGTTGTCATTAAGCAGGTGTTTTTATCCACAGTGACGCACGAGCACTGGCACACTTACCGTATCAGAAAGACCTTCAGCTTTGAGTTTCTGGTCTTTCAGGGCCTGTTGCAGAACCAGGATTTCAGCTTTGTGCTCTTTGACCGCCAGTTCAACGGCCTGACGAGACTCAGAATTGCGCTGCTCTGCTCTTTGAGATGGCACAATAATACGCCGTTCACTTGCAGAACGCAAGCTTCTAGAGGGCACATAACTCTAAAGTAATGAATTTAGGTAAAGGGGTGCAGAGACTTTTGTAGCATAGAAATACACTCATAATAATGTTACTCAAACAGTCATTCCATTTTTTCCTGACTTGCCCAGTTATTCATAATTTTTTATTATTTTGTTGTTTTAGAGCCTGACGAGACTCAGAATTGCGCTGCTCTGCACGGAGTCTGGAGACCGAGAGAGAGAGAGAGAGAGAGAGAGAGAGTTATAGAAGAATGAAGTGTTGGAGCAGCACAGTATGTCTCTAACTCAGTGTCATCTCTATACTTAACGTTCTTTATGTAACTCTTATATAACTATGGGCACTTCTGGCCCTGTGGACATTCAAATATAAACTGTTTTAACAAACTTTTAACACTTTCTAGTTTATTTTGTACAGTGTTAATGTCAACAGTTATATATAAACATCACAGCAGAATTCTTTTTTTGGAAGCTATATAAAAATCTAGAATTTTATGCATTTAATAATGTATATAGATTTGCATTAAAGATATGCATTCATTCATTTATATTTGCATTAATGTCAACATTTTTACCATGCAGAAATGTAATTTTATTTTAATGTTAATACATTTTACTTGGATTTTTATTTTATTTTTTGCATTAATTTTTATTAGAGAAGTTTCATTTTTTAGGATTTTATTATTTAACTTCAATACATTTTTAATTAATTTATAATTTTATTAAATTATAATTTTATTTTATTTAATGTACATTTATTTTCATTACAGAGGTTTCCATTTTATAGGAAAGATTTTATTAATTTCCCAGGCTTTTCCAAACCCTGAAATTTATAAGCTAAATAAGTTGTATTTAAATAAATTGTAAATAATTGTAATTTCAAAATTACAATTGTAAGTTACATTTTATTTACATTTATTTTCATTACAGAAATGTCCATTTTATTTTAAAGCTTTTAATGTTCGAGATTTTTCCAGGTCTGGAAATTTAGATAAACATAAGTTTTTATAAATTAAATAAATTTCATTTGAATATTTTATTCAAATAAAATTGTATTTATTTAAATAATTTTATTTCATTTTAATTGAAAATGAAATCATTATAATCTTATTTTATTCACATTTACTGTCATCATAAAAGTTTCTATAATATTTTTAAAGTTTTAAATAATTTAAAGCTTTATACATTTTTATGAGTTCAATTCTTATTTAATTTAAAATCATTTTTAAAGACGTTTCCAGGTCTGGAAATCACCATTTTAAAATGGCCAGATATTTTCTTATCTCTATGATGGCAGAAACCTTGATAAAAAGAAACAGATCAGTGATAACTTATTCAATGCATCTGCTGCAAACCAACAGACGGCATCTAAGGAACTGCATGATATAACGCCGAAATTATGCTGATAGATGTGGAAAGGAAGCTGCAGATTTTTTTCTTTTTGACTTTCATTAGCAGGTCCGGATTTCAGAGTCGCTGCCAATCGGAATTGATCCTCAGAGAGCCGGCGGGGGGATCGAGGGGGTCTTGAAGCAGGCAGATGTGCTCGGAAGTGCATCTCAGCGGCAGGACTGGATATTACCACATTTCAGAAAGAGACAGAAGGAGAGGACATTCAAATATAAACTGTTTTAACAAACTTTTAACACTTTCTAGTTTATTTTGTACACTGTTAATGTCAACAGTTATATATAAACATCACAGCAGAATTCTTTTTTTGGAAGCTATATAAAAATCTAGAATTTTATGCATTTAATAATGTATATAGATTTGCATTAAAGATATGCATTCATTCATTTATATTTGCATTAATGTCAACATTTTTACCATGCCTTCATTTATATCTATATTTATTTATTAATTATTTAACAATATAAAATATTTAATATATGTTATATAATAATAATAACAATAATAATAATGATTATTATTATTATATCTAAGTTTGCCGTTTTCATTGTATAAAGCTTTGTATAAAGTCCTTTGACATCATCATAAATCCACTAAATGTATCGATTTTTTAAATTGTATTATTATTATTAATTTTTTTGGACTATCCAAATGATGTATCATGTCAATATGCAATGGAAACATTTTTCTGGAGTAGGGCTATATGCATAGCTAGCCTTTTTATATCCTAAGCATATGTAATGAAATAATGTAGTTATGTGCATTAAATATATGCATTTATATAGTCAATTTAATTTTGCATTAATAAATACAGAAATAAATGAAGGCCTGATAAAAAAAAAAAAGAAAAGTTATGAAATAATTTCTCAAATTATTTGATATTATTTTATCATTTTTATATATATCATCTTTTTATATGAAATTCACAAATTATATATTTTTAAATGTTTTATATACATTTCTAAACTAATAAATCTTAATATATCTCAGTTTACAGTTTTCATTGTATAAAGCTAAGTTAGAGTGCTTTGTTTACTATTGTATTTTTAGAGCTGATTTACATCAGAATTGAATTTTGTTTGCATCATTGAATCACTATTTTCTTGTTCATCACTATAAAGCAGCTTTGAAACAATCTAAAGCGCTATAAAAATAAAGGTGACTTGACTGACTTTGTCCTCATAATAAAGCCACTAAATTGAAAGGTTATCCAGACTCAAACTCATATCTTGTCATCCAGCTCTCACAGTCAAACGTGTGGTTTCTGTACCTGTTCTGCTTCTCGTTGTCCAGTTGTCTCTGTATGTCTCTGGCTCGGCGCTCCGCCTGGTTCTTCTCCTCTTCCAGGGCAGATCTCCAGTTCTCCCACTGTCTCTCCTTCTCCAGCAGCTCATCGTTCAGCGTCTCCAGCTCCAGCACCTGCTCCTCCAGCATCGTACATGTGGTCTTCAGCGTCTCGATGTTCTACACACACAAGCACATCTATCATTTATATGCTATCACACTTTTACATTTACATTTAGTCATTTAGCAGACGCATTATCTCTATGATGGCAGAAACCTTGATAAAAAGAAACAGATCAGTGATAACTTATTCAATGCATCTGCTGCAAACCAACAGACGGCATCTAAGGAACTGCATGATATAACGCCGAAATTATGCTGATAGATGTGGAAAGGAAGCTGCAGATTTTTTTCTTTTTGACTTTCATTAGCAGGTCCGGATTTCAGAGTCGCTGCCAATCGGAATTGATCCTCAGAGAGCCGGCGGGGGGATCGAGGGGGTCTTGAAGCAGGCAGATGTGCTCGGAAGTGCATCTCAGCGGCAGGACTGGATATTACCACATTTCAGAAAGAGACAGAAGGAGAGAGAGAGAGTCTCCAAATATAGCCGGCGTGCTTTTGCCCCTGTGAAGTCCAACGCTGGCAGGGCAGAGGGGAGAATATGACACATCTCTGCCTCCCACCAGCGTCTATGATTACCATCCGCTACTGTTATACAACAGCGAGGACTGCACACCTACACACACATCCCACGCGCCTACATCACCTCTCACACACACACACACACAGCTCACTGCGGCATCATCGCGCAAAACTATGGAACCCGCGAGCATTATTTTCCAGCTTATTAAACAGCTTTGTTTTGGCACTGAGGAGGACAGCTGTGATTTGCTGTTCATGTGTAGTGTCATCACTTTTCAAACCGTAAAACAGTCATATCATGAGAAATTAAGAAAACATACTACACTATATATCATATAAATGCCTTGCACAGCTTTTACAGAAACTAAACTCCAAATATGATGCATTACAAACTTCCATACATTTTTAGCCAGCAGATCGAGGAATAAATAATTATATGACCACCATATATATGACAGGCCAAAAATTTGGAGTTGGTAATATTTGTTAATGTTTTCGAAAGAAGTCTCTTCTACTCACTAAGGCTTATTTGGTCAGAAATACAGTAAAATTGTGAAATATTATTACAATTTCATGTAAGTGTTTTCTATTGTAATATATTGTAAAATGTAATTTACTTCTGTGATCAGAGCTGTATTTTCAGCATCATTACTCCAGTCTTCAGTGTCACATGATCTTCAGAAATCATTCTAATATGCTGATCTGCTGCTCAAGAAACATTTCTGATTATTATCAGTTGAAAAAAATCTTAGTAACATTATAAATGTCTTTATTGTCACTTTTTGATTTAATTTAAATAAACTGTATTGAATTATATGTAAATTATTTTTATTACATTTCATTTATATATATATATATATATATATATTTTTTTTTTATTTATTTTTTTTTTTATATTATTATTATTCATTTCCAATAATTTTTTCAGGCCCAGAAAATTACCATTTTAAAATGGTAATTTTCTATGACACTAATAATGTTATAACTTTATATAAAGTAATTGAGAAATGTAACTTACAACAGCAATCATTTAATATTGCATGATTTTTCCAGTTTTCATAACGAATGGACAAACATAATTTTGTAGTTTTATAGAGAATACAATAACAAAGAACAATGTTTATAAAATAGAAAAGTTTATAAAAAAAGATAAAGTAGATTAGTAGATAAGCATAACTTATTATAATTTTAAATAATTTTAATTTACATTTGAAACAATTTAATAGATTTGACTTGAAATATCAATATTTTTTTGTAACATTATAAATGCATTTACTGTCAACTCGATTTAAATAAATAATTTTTATTTTTAGTTTTATACTTCACCTTTCTTTACATGAAATTAGGTTTTATTAATATGTGATTAATCTCAAAGACTTTTCCAGGCCTTTGAATTACTAAAAATGATCAGATATTGCTGGGTTTCTGTGACACTTATACGGCCGATTTCACAGACAAGGCATAAGCCAAGTCCCAGACTAAAATGTAAAAAGTCTGAGCTGTTTCAGCTGAAAGAAACTTACACTGATTGATCTTAAAACATGTCAGTGCATGTCATTTAGTTTTGTCTAAAGATGTACACCAGTAATGTTTTTTCTAAGGTGCGTTTATAAAAATGACCTAAATGTCCTAATTGAACTACGGCTCAATCCTGGCTTAGTCTAAGTCCTGTCTGTGAAACCAGGCCATAATGTTACGACTTATTTTTATTATTATTATTATTTTGTTTTAAAAGAAAATAATAAAACATTTAAAAGATATTTTAATAGAAGATATTATAATGTTTGTAACATTATAAATGTCTTTGCTGTCACTTTTGATCTATTCAATGCATCTTTGCTGAATATCTTTGCTCTTTTCTTTATTTAAAAAATGAATTTGAAAAAATCTTACCGACCTCAAAACTGTTGAACAAAGTTTACATGTCATTATTATTACTAAATTATTATTTACAGGACATTATTATTACTAAACACCAGAAGAACTAAAATAAAAGAGTAAAAAAAAAAAATTCAGAATGCTTCACTTTTGTGGTTTAATTTCAATAAATGATCATTTTGGACTGGAAAGAATGTTTTGAGCTCTTAAATTCACAGTATGATTTACAGAACACCTTTTAGCCCCCTAATGTGTTAAATTCTTACATTACGCTCATTTTCGAGATGCTAATGACATCTAAACATCCTCTCAGAGTGAGCGGCATCTGTGCTCATCACCTGCGGTGGGCTCTTAAATTCAGCCCACATCTCTCTCCCGCTGCGTCCACATGCGACTGTCTGTGACTCACACACATGCCAACGGGAGTGTGTGTGTGTGTGTGTGGACTCTACCTGTTTCTGGTTGTTGAGGTGCATCTCTCGGTCGGCCACCTCCCGGCGCAGGCGCTCCACGTCCTGCTTGAGCTGCAGTCTGTCCTCGTTCTCGTCCGTGGCCTCATCCAGCTGTTTGGACAGGTAGAAGTTCTGTCGGTTCAGCTCAGAGTTTTCTTGCGCCAGCTGCGACAGCTGCTCTTCCAGATCCGTGATCACCTGAGACAGGCGCAACAAAGATTATGTAAGAGTAGTTCAAAAAAAAAAAAAAGTAAATCTACAATATTTGGATATGAGAAAGTATTTTAACATTACATTTCATTTTTTTTTTTATATATATATATGAAGAGTTCATTTGCAAAAACAGATAACTCCGTTTTTAACAATTCTCAGAAATCATGGTTTTTCATTGTGCATTCCAATTAATCTCCATCAAACTGCAGTTGGGTTATTTTGATTAAGTTAAAAATAACTAAAAATTACAACTAACTAACACAATAAAAACATGATTACATAATAAAAAGCTTTTGTAACAATATACACTATACCATTCAAAAGCTTGGAGTCAGTATAATTTTTTTAATAAATTGTTTCTTTTTGGGGGGGGGGATTATAGAAATTAATACTATTATTTAGCAAGGATGCTTTAAATTGATCAAAAGTGACCATAAAGATATTAATATTACAAATTTCTATTTCAGATAAATCCTGTTATACTGAACTTTCTATTTATCAAAGAAACCTGAAAAAAATTCTACTCAGCTGTTTTCAACATAATAATAATAATAATAAATGTTTTTTGAGCAGCAAATCAGAATATCTGAATGATTTCTGAAGGATTATGTGACTGGAGTAATGATGCTAAAAATTCTGCTTTCAAATCACAGGAATAAATTAAATTTTAAAATGTATTTAAATAGAAAACAGTTATTTTAAATAGTAAAAATATTTCAACATTTTACTGTTTTTGCTGTACTCAAACAAATGCAGGCTTGGTGAGCAGAAGAGACTTCTTTAAAAAACATTACAAATCTTACTGTTCAAAAACTTTTTACTGGTAGTGTACTTCATCAGAAAACCGTCTTTGACTAAAACCCTTTTTAGAAGCGTTTTCTCGTTTCACTTCACACATTTCCAAAGCCTCCATCTGACAAGCAGAAGAGACGCAGGTTTGCATGAAACTGCAGTGCTGGTCAAGAGCATTCCTCTGGTGCGGAGGAGGTTTCTGCGCTCATTATTATTGTCATTACTGTTAAAGGCACAGCGCCACACTCACAGACACTGACCCACTTTAACTACTGACCAAAACACTTTTTACCCAGCTATAGTTTATTTGCCCTGTGTTGAGCTTTTTATCATCTTTCACTGATTAAATTCAAAAATGCATCTGTTTGCCGCGTTCTGAATGGCTATTTGCACAATGCCGTGTGGTTGCTAGGGTGTTATGCTTGGTTGCTAGGTAGTTTTTTATTGTTCAGGTAGAAATCTGATAGCTTAGAAAGGTAGTAGGGTAGGATGAGGGAAGATGCCATTGTGCACTTTTAAATAGCAATGTATTTAGGTGTAAGTTAAGCATGTGCAAGATGATGATGATGCATCAGCTAATTTAACTAACATTTGCGGTAGTTTTTTATTGTTCAGGTAGAAATCTGATAGCTTAGAAAGGTAGTAGGGTAGGATGAGGGAAGATGCCATTGTGCACTTTTAAATTGCAATGTATTTAGGTGTAAGTTAAGCATGTGCAAGATGATGATGATGCATCAGCTAATTTAACATTAACATTTGCTCATTTAGTTCTCATAGCACAAAATGTAAAATTATTCAAAGATGCCATCTTGCTTCACTAACTTTTATAGAACGTATATATGCCTTTTAATTTATTGTATTATACTATATTATAATTTTAAGTGTGATTAATGTAAACTACTAAATCAACTATTCAATTTTTTTGAAAATTATTCATGTAAAATTATTTAGAGGCCATTTTACTTATTTAACTTTCGCAGAATGTATACATTTTTATATATATCATATTATTTTATATTTAACATTTGCTCATTTAGTTCTCATAGCACAAAATGTAAAATTATTCAAAGATGCCATCTTGCTTCACTAACTTTTATAGAACGTATATATGCCTTTTAATACTATGATTTATTGTATTATACTATATTATAATTTTAAGTGTGATTAATGTAAACTACTAAATCAACTATTCTATTTTTTTGAAAATTATTCATGTAAAATTATTTAGAGGCCATTTTACTTATTTAACTTTCGCAGAATGTATACATTTTTATATATATCATATTATTTTATATTAGTATAAAATTATATATTCATATTTTTGTAAAATGTAAAATACTAAATCAACTATCAACCATTCCATTTAAATCTTTAGACTTTTTTAAATGTAAAATTATTCAAAGAAGCCACCTTACCTCACTACCTTTCAATGTATGCATTACTTTTAATATTATTGTTATATTATCTTATATTATTATACTTCAAAATTATAAGTGTCTTTAAAGTAAAATACTAAAAAAAACTGTTTTATTTATTTATTCATTTATTTTTACATTTATTTGAAGAATTGAATAACCAATGTCAGATAGAGCAGAATCCCAGTAAAAGAGATTCATCTGAAAGGTAAATTATTATATGACTTATGTAAAGGAATATGAATATATACATGTTTCATTTCTCATATTTAAGTAACAATATTCCATAACAGCAACGCTGTTATTGCAAACTGAATGATTTCACTCAGTTATCCTATACGGATGTCTAAAATGAAAAACCCAATAATTTACAGTAAGTATTAAAAAATAATAATAACATAAAATGCCACTTGGGGCCTTCTGGGTCTAATTTTATCTTTTCATTAAAAATCGATACAATATTTTGCACTCCATAAATCCATGTGCCCACATTAGTAAACAGACACACATAAAAAAAAACTTTATATTCAACATAATATAATTATTTTATATATTTTCTATATACGTATTTTCTATTTTCTAGAAAAATATTAACCTCAAAACTGTTTCAAATGACTAAATCTCACAAATTCTGATATTCAGATGAAATTACAAAAATATTAAGAGCATATCTATTACTTGAATAAGATTTATGCCATCTATGATCAAGAGAAACTAAAAAAACATCTTAGCAACCACAGCACAACACCCTAGCATTGTTTTTAGTGTTGCACAGGCATTGAATATGCAAATAAAAGTGCAAAGGAATACAATGTTATTTTATACCCTTACTATACAAAATACAGCTCAAAAATTGAGAAGATCAAAGCATGTTTGGTGGAAAGAAGCCGTCACCAGGGGCTGGGATTATAAGAGTTTACGAAAGACAGATCGAAGAGCAAACGCCGCTCTCCTGTCTGTCTGTAGTCCCACCGTCAGCAAAACTCACCGAGACTGACAGCGAGGCTTCAGACACTTTAAAGCTGGGAATAACTATTACCAGCACTCACACAAGCCCTTAGCCGTAAGTGTGAGCAATAGTAATAATAACTATGCTTGACTTGCCATACATACAAAAACAAGTCCATATGTTTTCATTTTTTTAATAAGAATGAAATTCGCATTTCCAAGTTTATACGTTCATCTGAGCTCCAGTTATGATTGCAAAGGAGTATGATGAAGGAAAAATGTAATATAACTCCTCGGCGCGGTAGAGAAGATGGGTGTCTAAAAACAGCGCTGGGACCGGGTGAGAATATTGCATCTGTGGAGACGCTCAAACAGCTTGAGTGTGGGTGGACAGTGAAAGTAGGGCAGAGATGCTCTGTGCTTGATAATAATGAAACACACTCCAGGGGCAACACAAACAAAAGCACTTCAAAATGCAACCGTTCCCCAAATCAATGACTGCTGGAGGAGCAACTTTCAGGATGCTTGAAAACAGATGCATTTGAAAATAAAATGGTGGACAGCATTACATTCCACTAACAAAAATGTGTGTGTGTGTGTGTGTTTGTATTACAACAATTTGAAATAACTATTTTCTGTGATCCAAGCTGAATTTTCAGCATCATTACTCCAGTCTTCAGTGTCACATGATCCGTCAGAAATCACTCTTTTTTTTAAGTTGCTTTGGAAAAAAGTGACAAATGCAAAAAATATATAAAATATAAATATATATTTTTCAATATCTTGGTAAATGGGTTGCATGACATGATTTATTAAACTGCAACAGCAGTGTGACATACTAATCTAAAATTATTTTAAATAATACTTTTCTAATTCTTTTATAAATGTCAAGAGTACAAGCCATTTTTATGAGCTCCTTTTAATTAAGAGATTATTTGTCACCCTGCTGGGCTATTTAAATGAATTGAAAAAAACTTGATTAAAATGATACAGATCCAGTCACTGATCCAAAAGACACACTTTACCCTTTACACTTCAGGGCCAAGTTTTTTTTTTTTTAAAGACATTAATACTTTTATTCAGCAAGGATGCATTAAATTAAATCAAAAGTGACAGTAAGCATTTTTTTTTAAATGTGTTACAAATTATTTATATCTCACATAAATGCTGTTCTGCATGTTCTGCTGTTCTGTTAATAATAAATGTTTTTGATCAGCATATTAGAATGATTTCTGAAGGATCATGTGACACTGAAGACTGGAGTAATGATGCTGAAAATTCTGCTTTGATCACAGGAATAAATTACATTTTAATATATTTTCAACTAAAATACACTAATTTTAAATTGTAAAAACATTTTGCATTATTACTGTTTTTACTGCATTCTTGATCAAATGCAGCCTTGGTGAGCATAAAACAACTGTTTTCAATAATATTTCAAAAATCTTAACACCCCTAAACTTTTGAACGCTAGTCTACATTCATATACATTTTAAACTAAAATGGTGATATTTTGAAAAAAAAAAAAAGTTTTAATTTATGGATTTAGTTCTGACTCAGATGCTGCTTATGGAAACGGCACCATCCACACTTTCTATCTGTACAGGTAGGACTGGTGTGGGTCACAAGTGATGAGTCAAAAACAGAGAAAAGCTAATTTGCATACCGCACAGCTGTCTCGCAGGGCATCAAACTTGCGTTGGATTTCATCCCGATGGGCCTTAAAAAAAAGAAACGAAATGAGAGTGAAAATTGCCATGTTTGCAAGAAGTGCTCACTCTGCCAGAGTGCTGCGTGGAGTTCTGCAGTAAAGTGCATTTGAGCAGATAGCAGCGGCGCTGTGAAATGAACTCGAGTGTCATGACGGGTGTGATGTCATGCATGAGAGCGGATGAAACCGTGTCATTGATGCATTGAAACGCGTACTGCAGAAGAGCGTGGGAAGATGTTTACAGCACTGTGAAGAAGAGGAACACAATGGTCCACTGAGAGATTCGCCACATGATCACTCATTACGACTGAACGATATAAAGGAGATGCGTGGAGTCTGTGAAATGGTGATATGAAATGATATGGATTATATCGACTGCTGATCCTTCAGAAGCTACTTTGAAACTTTAGCTTGCCAAGATGTAAACTTCTTAGTTACACTACTGTTGAGCTGCCTTTTGCTTAAGTTACTTACAAAAAAACTACTGCATTATATTTGATACGGAAATTTCAAAGGTCTCTAAATGATCAAGATGATCAAAACTTTGCTGAAAAACCTGTTGAACTCAATCGACTTTTTTATCAAGTAAAAGTCTTTTAGTATAATTGTACAAATGTCCACCTTCTGCTCGTGCTTCACATGTCTTTTTGCTGTGAAACTGTTATTGATTTTTATAAAGTGAACATGAGAATGACTTTGATATTGTTAGTAATATTTCAAGATGAACACTTATTGGTTTGAAGCAACTTAGTTTCACTTTATTATCCAGACATCATCATCCAAAAATCAGGTTCAAATGTATCAAATGGGTCAATATCACCATAGAGTGCCTTTCAACCCTCAAAATACAACATTTTGGTTTTAATTTCCCATTCACTTTATGTCATGTCATAAATAGTAGACACTCAAGTACTATAGAAACATATTAGCTGAGCTCCCACACATTTTTTAGATAATTATGGGCCATTATTCGAAGCATAAACCATAAGATATGTCCACCCTGTTATGGACATATATGTTACTGTTAAATACATTTTCATTGCAAACTTAAGATGCAAATTATATTTTCTGAAAGGTATAATGTCTCTTTCCTAAACAGGGTTATTTGTTTGCTTTCAAATTATAAATACATAAAATATTTTATGTAAACCATGTGTTTTTAAAGAAACTCAAACAATTTGCACATGTATTTAGCTTTTTATATTCATATTAGCTAATTATTATTTAAAATATTATTGTAAAATATCAAGATGACAGGGTGGACCGGCACATGACGGGGTGGACACAAAAAGCAGAACACACAAAGAAACATTTATTCAACTTCTAAAAAAATAATATAATAATAATAAATAATATAATTACATCCTCAATCACATTGATATACCCCCAGATTCATTTTAGTTTTTAGCAATATCAACTACAAATGAATGTTATGTCCACTCTATCGAGTCTAAGTGGCCGACAGGGTGGACATTTTGAACTTCAATTAGCATAGTAGCTTACAAAAAACTGTGACTAGCTAAATATTTAGTCTGGTTGTTGAAGAAAATTTGTCAATTGAAAAGTCACCAACTTATTCACCTCAGCCGTTGAAATTCCCGCAACAGAAAAGACAAAAAAATCTGTTGCCCTGATGTCACTAAAGTGGATGGCCTTTTCTTAAAGGGGCGGATAACTTTTTTTAATTTTTTTATTATATGATTACACCATCTATCGCAGCAAGCCTAGTCACCAACTTATTCACCTCAGCCGTTGAAATTCCCGCCACTGAAGAGACAAAAAATCTGTTGTCCTGATGTCACTAAAGGGGATGGCCTTTTCTTAAAGGGGCGGATTCCCCAATACTACAGGGTGGATTACCATTCAACGGACATGGACAAACTCTTCTTTTTTATTAAATAAAAATATTGTTTTTATTACTAAATGATCAATACACTCAAATTGAGTCATCTCTTATTTAACAAAATATTAGTAGGAGACCAAATTTTTACATTTTATGATTTGACAATATTCTACTATCATTCAAATTGAATGAGCAGTGCATGGGGCATAGCAATATTACACGCATCCTCTTACACAAACCTAAAAAAAAATCTAGAAAATGTATCTAAAGAGCCAAGTAATGCTTTTGTTATGAATATAAAAACTTAGCCTAATATAACACACCCTTTCATGGTCATTTTTATGTTAAGTTATCATGGCAAATGAGTTATTTATGTACAGGACATCAAAAGGCACCCTACAGTGATATTGACCCAAATATGATCACCAGGCTTTTAAGGAACGTTTATTTGTTCATCACTCAATCCTCATTGTATTGTATTGCATTGCATTATATGTTTTGATCATAAGCTACCTAAGCATTTAAATATAATCTTATTGGATATATAGAGTGAGGACTGATATTTAAATAATTTTGTATCTGCTATATGTGACCCTGGAGCACAAAAGCAGCCTTAAGTCGCTGGGGTAGAACACACAGCAGGACCGTAGTTACTGGGTGATCAACACCACTCCAGTGCATCGATTAACGTCTTGTGAAGCCAAAAGCTGTGTGTTTGTAAGAAACGAATCCATCATGAAGACGTTAATAACTTTAAACCATTGCTTCCAGCTAAAGTACAAGCACTCTATCCATAATATTGTTTCCTCCAGTGAAAAGGTTGTCTGGTCTGAATCAGGTCTGAAGTCTGCATAGATCAAGCACTGTTTACAAGCCAAAACAGACTTATTCTAAACAAATATTTGGGTGGATTTTAATTTTGACAAGAGGAGACAGACTTTTTCAGTGTTATTATGGATTATGGCATTTTAGCCAGAAGTGACGGTTTTAAGTTAAAATGCCTTGATGGATTTGTTTCTTACAAACATGCAGCTTTTGGCTTCACAAGACATTAATTGACTTATCGGTAAGCCCCGCCCCCCCTTAGTTACTGTTGCGCACTCTGACAAACAAACGGAGTTGCTACTGCCTTACAATGACAGCTGTCAGTGTGAAAACCTTGTCTCAAGATGTTTTTGGACACGGAAGGACCATCATTTAAGTGGGACTTAAATATGATATGGAGGTATATGCTGTATACAATATTTCAAAATAAATATGTAAAAATACAGATCACAATGCAAACAGGAGAAGTCTCATGTTACGGTCATTACAATCACAATGACAACATCTCGGATCAACACAGTTCATGTACTGCAGGGTAAGATTAAATTAATTTACATTTAACCAGTTTAAAGGGGTCCTATTATGCTTTTTCGAAAGGTATTGTAATAATGTAAATTATGTGTCACCAAGCATGAGAGCATGTTCTAGTACACCCCCAAAACAAAATCAAGACTTTGTAAAAGAGCATAATATGGAGAGGCACTGAAATGTAGACCTTCGTTTAAGCGTTTTTGACTTGACTTTACACTGTACATGACGTGAGAACAGTTCGCTATTTAGGTTTGTACGTTAGCATGGATGCACTAACTTTAATGTAAGTTTTAGCCAGAGATACCTTGCTGAAGCACAAGATGACATTAATGTTCTGCTTGAGCAGATGAAAATTGTAACTTAATGAGAGTATGACAATCAGAAAATTAACGTTTTCATCTTCATTGGGATTAGGTTCAGGTTTAGGTTCATAAATTCTATTGCCTATCCTCTCAGGATACCTGGAATCAGTGTTTCAAGTACCCCAGGCACATCGGTTTTCCATTTTCGAAGCATAAACACCATCAAACCGATGTGAGCTTTGGATCTTCCAATGTTTCTCTATTAGCTCCGAAAATACAGTCTTATTGTAAATACAGTGAGGAAAACTGCAGTAGCCAAGGCGAGCTGACTGACGTTATCAAGTACGCTGCTGTTTCATTTGCAGAACTTTGCGTACTTGGAATTGAGAAACGCGCGCAGACCTACATCACCAGACTAATAGTCTAATCTTCACGGTACTTTAGACAGCGATGGAAATGCAGACAGCAACAGGGAAAAAAGTTCCTGGGACAAACTGTGCCAGGTAATTTCGGTGGAAAAGCGGCTTATGTGACATAATGCTCAATTTCTCCAAAACTGTTCCAATGAAGAAACAAACTTATCTACATCTTGGATGGCCTGAAGGTGAGTAAATTATCAGCAAATTTTTATTTTTGGGTGAACTTTTCTTTTAGGCAGAAATTTCATTATTGTAATATTCTGAATATTTAACTTTTTTATAATTCCTATTATCTTTGATTACTCTCATTACTGAAAATACAGTCTTTTTATTGCATCACAGTAAAACAACTGTTGCCATATTACAATGATTTTTTTTTACTTAAATCAACAAATTATTTTTTACAGTGATGAGAAATTGAAAATAATGCCATGATGCAAGAAATAAAGTAATATATATAATATATATATAGTTTTCTAATAGTTTTAGACTTCATTGTGTTTATGCAAAATCAAATTTATTTATTTCTGTTGATTTTGGGGTGAAACATGATTCAGAATTCTCCCCGAGTGCATCAATTGTATCTGTATAGCATTTTACAAAATACAAACAGTTTCAAAGCAGCTTTACAAAAATTCATGATGTTAATGTTTGTAACATATAATATATGCATGCCTTACAGTCATATTTAGCAGATTAGAGCTCATAATAATCACATTAATCACAGGCTCATATTAATTAAGAGACCACATGGAATATTTGTCACCCTGCTGGGCTATTTAAATGAACTGAAAAAAGATTTAAAACAAGAAATGTTCAAAAGTTTGGGGTCAGTTCGATTTTTGTTGTTATCTGAAAGAAATTAGTTCTTTTATTCAGCAAGGATGCATTAAATTGATCAAAAATTACTTTAAAGACATTTTTAATGTTAAAACTCAGAAAATTCCAAATAAATGCTGTTTTTTTAACTTTCTGTTCAACAAAGAAACCTGAAAACATTTATCACTGTTTTCACAAAAACAAGCAGCAGCGCAACTGCTTTCAACTTCTTATACATTTCTTCCGATTTTTTTGTTTGTTTTGAAGAACTCTCCTCAAGTTCATCAGACTGTCTCATCATCGTCGTCATACGATGGTCTTGGTCGTCACTCACCTCTCGCAGTCTGGCCTCCAGTTCCAGCACTCTGCTCTTGTTAGTCTGCTCTTGTTGTGTCAGTTTCTCCAGATGTTCCTCCAGCTTTGCATTCTGGGCCTCCAGTTTTCCTGCCTGAGATTCCAGATAAAACTTCTGCTGCCTGAGTTCAGAGATCATCTCCTCTTGGGCTTTCCTAAAGATTGCAAACATGATTTGAAGAGTTTTTGGAGAAAAACCCTGCTGAAAATTATAAAGCTAGTCATTCAGTCAAAAACCTGTTTCTAAAACCTTGTAGAGCTGAATAACCGTGCTGGTTAAGCTAGTCAAGTGGGAACATCATTAGCACAGCAGCATCTAAACCACAACGTATACTGGTGTATAATGCAAATACACCAGGTCATCGTTCATTAACTTTGTGCTTAACCCTGAAAATCTGCTATTATGGCACATTAGCCTGAAATTAACCTTTACATTCAAACACATTTCATATCCAAATGTCCACAGTTCATTCATGTGAACGGCATGAAATTGGCTGTGAAAATACTGTCTTAATACTAATATTACGTGGAAGCAAAAGCAATAAGCCACAAGACTCTTGCAAAAAAGTACTACGGTGGTACTACAGTAAAGTCACTGTAACAAGACATATACAGACGTATATACAGATTTTTTATTTTATTATATTTTATTTTTATATATAAGCCACAAGACTCTTGCAAAAAAGTACTACGGTGGTACTACAGTAAAGTCACTGTAACAAGACATATACAGACGTATATACAGATTTTTTATTTTATTTTTATAGAAAATATAAAATATTAAACTTATCAAATTTTTTTTTTAACTTTATTTTATACACTATAAATTACGATAAAATGTATAGTAAAAAACAATAAAAGGACATTCCCAGAATTCCCCTCACAATATTATATATATGATTATAGTTTATTTAAATAGTAATTTTGTTGTGTGCTTCTGTATTTTTTTAAATATTTCTATTTGGCTTTAATTTATTTTTATTTCAGTTCTAGTCATTTTAGCACTTCAACATTATTTTAAGTGACTGGTATATACTTTAATGCAAAAAAATTATTTGCAAAGAATACCATATCCAATACAAACTGTGTATTTTATGACAATATGTAGCACAGCATGAAGCAGAATGACTAATCGCTTATACATAACAACAACAGGCAACCGCAATATGATAAAAGACTAAAATTCGATTAATAATTAAACGTGTTACTAACAATAATCCAAACAAACAGCTCTTCAGTCAAGTAATATAACGTGTTAGTCTAACTGTAGGCTGTTTATGGTTAGCAACTGTAATTGATTTCCATCCATCACTGAATCAGCTGGAGTCTGTGTGTTCATGGATGTAAACTCACATGTTTTTCTGCGTGTAAATGCTGCTGTTGGCTGCCAGTTTGTTGGCCTCGGACAGCTCAGTGATCCTCTGCTCCAGATTGCTCATCTTTGACTCCATGGCATTGATCGTCTACATGAAGCAGAGTCACTGATGAGTAAATTAGACATTATAATTCAAAGCAGAACCTTAGTTCAATAATGAACAGAACAGCTTGAATTTCTTTACGAGGCCAGCTGGTTAGTGCTGGTCATGCTGGTGAATCAGTATAGTCAACCAAGTACAGTATAGTCTTGTCAAAAGTACTGGTGCTTCAGTACTAAATTTTACAAAAGTATCAATACTAGCCTTCCTACAGTACCAGTAGGGTTATTATAGTTAACTAAAACGTAACAAAAAAAATCTTACTTAAAATAAAAGTAAATAATAAAATTATTAATATACACACACATACATATATACACATATATACACTCTAAAAAATGCTGGGTTGTTTCAACCCAACTTCGGGTCAAATGTGGACTAACCCAGCCATGACAAAAACACAACAAAATTACTAAAACTTTAACTAAAATTAAAGTGAAAATATAAAAAAATAAAAATGAATTTAAACTATTAATTAAAACTATAATAGTATCTTAATCTTACCAAAAAGATACTGATTACTGAGTCACTTAGGTTTTTTGCTCTTCATTTAACTTCATTAATCACTTGACCTTTTTAAAACCAGTGCTTACTTAATATAAAAAATATTTCAAGTCTACATGCTAAAGTTTTAATGTATTATTTACTTATAATTATTAGTAGAATTAATTAACTAATTTAACTTAATCTTTTTTTTTTTATACTAAACAAAATATTTAAATAGGTCCAATAGTTTTTGATATAGTAGTGAAATTGGTACAGAGGAAAATGAAATTTTAGTTGGTATTGTCACAGCACGTTTTTTGTAATTATCTTTGATTATTCTTAATACTGTCAATACAGTATTTTTATTGCACTACAGTAAAACAATTATTGCCATAGAATTTTTTATTTAAATCAACAAATTCACAGCAGATTTTTTTACAGTAATGAGAAATTTAAAAACATGCCATGATGCAAAAAAAATAAATAAATTGAATTTATTGTCTTGCACAACAGCACAAAGATCAGTGTTAATTAATAGGGTCACACTATGTAATTTTTCCAAATGAAAAATTATAGTCTCTCTCTCAGAAAAAGCAAAATAACATGTTACCGCTGTCTGGTCACTGATCATTTTTCCCCGCTCGCGAGATTCCTCCTCATACGTGTTCTGCTTGGACTCCAGCAGTTCCTTTTCAGCCAAATCAGCCTTCATTTGAGCCTCTAAAACCTACAACACACAAGCACTGGGATATTACACCTGACAAACGAACAGAAAGTACCATCAAAATGAGGCCTTTAAAGGTTTCATCTAAATCCAAAGATAAACACAGAGTCAGGATCTTTTATTCAGTAGCTATAAAATTAATAACGAGCACTAAAGTATATCGGTCCTGTCACTGTGTGAACCCAACGATAACCGCTCTGTTGAACATCACTGATATTTGTCATAAGCAGAAGTGTGTGTGTGTGGCCTGACCTTGATCTTGTCTTCATAAAGCTTTTTCTTCTGTTCCAGGTGTGTTTCCATACGCTGCGCTGTTGCTTGTGTTTCACGCAAGTTCTCTTCGAGTTCCTGCATACAGACAAGAGAGGAAGAACTGCTAGGTTATTTTTCCCAGAAGAAAAATTTAAAAAGTGTGGTACTTCAGTATAAGTCTCTATTTAATCTCATTTATTTTAGGAAAGACAGTAGGAACGTTTTTAATTAATAACATATTTCCCTAACAGGTCTCCAGTAGTTATATTTTTGTATTATTTATATACTTTTAAAGTATTTATTAATATTTCGAACTAGCTTTTGTTTTTATATCTTCAGTTTTCATTTTAATTTTTGTTCAAGTTTAAATAATTTTGTGCCTTTGTCATTCATATTAAATATATTTTAAATATTTGTATTTTGCTTTCATTTATTTTTATTTCAATTTTAGCAATTTAGTACTTCAACTTTTTATTTTTTTTCATATAATATTTATATTTTATTTAAGATTTAAATTAATTAATGAAAACAGTTTTTTAACAGTTTTAATTAACCTGTTAGTTAGTTAATTGCAAATTACCCTACCATATATATTTTACAAAAAATGTAAATGGTTTTCTATTGCATTATATGTAATTATACAGTAAAATACAGTCAAATGTATAATTTTTGGAAGTACAAACCATAACTTTTACTGTGAAAAACAGTAAAAGTTATTAGTTTATAGTTTTTAGTTATTAGTTTATATACAGCATATAGTGTATTTAAATAGTTTTGCTTTTCCTCATTTTTGTTATCAGTAATGTATTTTATACTTTCAGTTTTTATTTTAATTTTTGTTTTAGTAATTTGTTATGTGCTTTTGTAATTTTTATTGTATTTCTAAATATTTCTATAATTTACTTTTATTTCAGTTTTAGTCATTTTTGTACCTCAACTCTTTTAAAGTTTAAGTTCACACAATATTTATATTTTATTTCATTTCAGCCTTATTTTAATTAATTAAAACTATTTTTAATAGGCAAGGCAAGGCAAGTTTATTTATATAGCACATTTCATACACAATGGTAATTCAAAGTGCTTTAAATAAAAAGGAATTAAAATCACAAAATAAAAGAAAAAATGTAAAATTATTTTAAAAAATGATTTAAAATGCATTAAAACAGTTAAGAATAAAAAATGAGGATACATAAAATACAGTGCAATCATTCAGACTTAGCACAGTGCTCATTTAGTAAATGCACAACTAAACAGTTGTTTTGAGTCTAGATTTAAATGTAGTTCAATCGAATGTATTGACAGTTTTAATAGTTTTATTTTTAATTACCGATAACAACTCTGGTCTCCAGATGAACTCAAAATGTGCCATTTCATTTTTAAGCACCTGTTAATCGTGACTAATTCATAAAAATCAATAATGTACGGTATAAATCATCCAGCTAAAAACACATCGTCATTGTGACACACATGATCATGGCCAAAGACTGAGATGATCCACTGCAACCTGTCACTTTTGGAGCCGTGACAGGGCCAGAGAGCATGCTGGGAGCTGAGGAAAAGAAGCGCTGACACTGCCAGGCTAAGCAGGTCGAAGAAAAACGAATAAAACAGAAAATGCATGTGTTTAATGCAAGCATGAGTGTTTGAGGAGGTATACCGCGCGTGACTGAGAAGTGTTACGCGTCTTAAGTAGTTTTACTGCGTGCATGTGATACCTCCAGAAGACGTTTCTGGAGCGCAGCAATCGCATTTCATCGACACGTCGTGTTGAGTGAACAGCTCCAGTGTTCACCTGTTTGTTAGTATGTGTGTGTGTGTGTGTGTTTAAGATACAGAATGTGTAAATCAGCGGGAGTTCAGCGCTCGCTCGCGTCTCAGGCTCAATATACTGCAGTATTTCCTCTCAATCAGTAGAAAATATGGTTAACACCCGGTCATGCATGAAAAAGAAAATACCGTCATGTACCGTGAAACCGGTATAATTTTGAAAAATACCGTGATATAAATTTTTGGTCATACCGCCCAGCACTAAAATCAATATATATTTACTTGAGAAGCAAAATTATTTAAGATATTAAGTCTTGTTTCCTGAAATTTGTATCACAATTAAGGAAGTGTATGCTTAAAACAAGAAAAATATCTGCCAATGGGGTAAGAAACATAAAATTAATTCAAAGGGAAAACAAGGATATTCTTGTTTTAAGGATTTTTTCTTCCATAAAACAAAACAAAATACCCTGCAAAAATTTTCTTACTTAGTATTTTTGTCTTGTTTTCCAGTACAAATATCTAAATATTCCTAAAAACAAAACAAAAAAAAAACTAAATACCTGCAAAAAATGTTCTTTGTATTTTTGTCTTGTTTTCCAATATAAATGTCTAAACATTATTTAATCAAAAGAATTTTACTTCAGAGGCAATTTTTTTTAAGAAATTATACTTGTTTCCTGAAACATATCAAAATTAAGTGAGTTTATGCTTAAAACAATAAAAAATATCTAACAATGAAAAATAAAATTAATTCAAAGGAAAAACAAGAATATCATTATTACCCACTGGCATATGTTCTTTCTGCTTTTAAGCAATTTCTTATCCAGTTTTTTTTTTTTTTGTGAAAAAAATTTGAGACTTGTTTCCCAGTAGAAATATCTAATCATTCTTTAATCAAGATTCATTTACTTGAGATGCAAAATTAAAACCTGATGTCATTGTTTTTCTTAAGTAAATATATCTTGATTTAGGAATATTTAGATATTTGTACTTGAAAACAAGACAACAATACGAAGTAAGAAAATCATTTTCTGCAATTGTTGAAATGGAAAATCACATCAGAATAGTCATCGACAATGAACCAATCAGTTGTGAGCTTGAGGCTAAATGTCAGCAAAAGTGGATTACAATTGGTTAATTAATTATGATGTTTAGATTTGCAGTTACATTCATGCATTTGGCAGATGTTTTATCCCAAGTGAGTAACACTGCATTCAATGTCTATATTGTATTTAATCCCTTCACATCAGAATAGTCATCGACAATGAACCAATCAGTTGTGAGCTTGAGGCTAAATGTCAGCAAAAGTGGATTACAATTGGTTAATTAATTATGTTTAGATTTGCAGTTACATTCATGCATTTGGCAGATGTTTTATCCCAAGCGAATAACACTGCATTCAATGTCTATATTGTATTTAATCCCTTCAGGATCTACTGTTTGAACTACAGAAATTGTTTCCTGCTTATTCTTTGTGTAATGACAATAAAGTTGAATCTGATCTAATCATAATCATTATATTTGTAAATCAAGTCATTTTGAATTCATTCAGACATTCAGTGATAAGTGTCTGGAGAAGCTGTGCAGTGCATCACCTCAGTGTCTCGCAGGCGTCTGCGCAGGCTGTCGGTGGAGTCCTCTTTGGTCTGCAGACGCTCCAGATCTCGCTCCAGACGTTCTTTAGCCTGCCGGACGTTCTGCAGGAGTTCAGTGGCTTCTGTACTCGCCTTCACGGCCTGCGAGAAAAGGAAACAGCACTGTAAAAAATGTACAGAAAAAGACTAAAACTGCTACAGTAAAAACCTGTTAATTGGTTTGTAAATGACCTTACCATAGACTGTAAATAAACCTGTAAATGTTTCAACAAGGCATTGTATGTAATTATAAAGTAAAATACAGTCAAATTTATAGTTTTTGAAAGTACAAACTATTAATTAACATAATTTACAGTGCAAACAGTAAAAGAAGGACTGTTGCACGATTTTATGAATTAAACAAGACATATGAAGTAGAAAACCTAAAACAGTATTTTCTTGTAAAACAATCTAAATATCTTTGTTTTGTGTACTTTGTTTTATTTACTTTATTTAACTTAAAAAAAAATTTGTTTTTACAGTGTTTTGTATTATTACATTTTAAGGTAATAAGCAGATTTTGTTTATTACAATTAGCTTTATATATTATAACATTACATACTGAAATATATGGTTATAAGTTATAAAAAATATATATATATAGGCATCAGTATTTCATTTTGTAATATCGGAAACACTGTTTTTATTTGTATTTTACTTTGAATTTATGGCAACTAAAGCTACCAGTTTTATACCATAAATTTAACAGGATATTTTTTTATTTTTGGGGGTCATAGATTAGCTATCATCTAACTACTGCTGTGTGATCCACGATAAGTCAAATCACAGTTATTTATGTAGTGCTTTACACAATACAGATTGTTTCAAAGCAGCTTTACTCAAATAAACAGAAAAATAAAAGTGTTAATGTTGTAAAATTCATCAATTATAAAACAAATTTATATTTCAGCCATAAAGCAGCTCTACAAAAGACAATAATGTTGTTATTCTGTTCAAGTCAGTTCAGTGTTGATTCAATTCAATTCAATAGCAGTGTTGATGATGCAGTTATTATCATTATCAGTTCAGTTCAGTTCAGTTCAATGACAGCATCGATGCAGTTAAAGGGATAGTTCACCCAAAAATGAAAATTAGCCCATATTTATTATATGACTTTCTTCTTTCAGATGAATCCAGTCGGAGTTATCTTAAAAATTGACTTTGATCTTTCAAGCTGTTTAATGGCAGTCAGCGGGTGTTGCAGTGCATCTATCCAAAAGAAGTGAAATAAAGAAAATAAATGCGCTTTATTTCACTTCTTTTGGACTGATGAACCGCAACACCCGAGTTATCTTAAAAATTGACTTTGATCTTTCAAGCTGTTTAATGGCAGTCAGCGGGTGTTGCAGTGCATCTATCCAAAAGAAGTGAAATAAAGAAAATAAATGCGCTTTATTTCACTTCTTTTGGACTGATGAACCTCAACACCCACTGACTGCCATTAAACAGCTTGGAAGATCAAAGTCAATTTTTAAGATAACTCCAACTGGATTCATCTGAAAGAAGAAAGTCATATAATAAATATGGGCTAATTTTCATTTTTGGGTGAACTATCCCTTTAACTCAATAATATTAATAATAATAATTTTTCAGTTCTTCGAGAAGGGCTGATTTTTAAATAAATGTGCACGGTACCTTGGCAAGCTTCTCCTGGAGTTCTTCAACCTTCACTTGCTGCTCTGCATTGGTCTGAGACATTTACAAATAAAAGAAGCTTAAATACAAAAACAGCTGCATTAGCAATTGCACTAGACACTTGCTCCAGACTGGTTAGTGCTGGTCAATCAGCATGGCATTTTTGCTCATTTACCATGGAGGTATTTTTGGTTATGCAAGTTAGGAAGTCTAGCAACAAAATATGTTGGTCTTCTTAACAGCAAATGGAAACGGTGTAAGTAAATAGTGATTAAATTACCTTCTGCAATTTGGTCAGAAGTTCTTCCATCTCAGTTTTGCCTTGTTCTTTGGCCTGCAGAATCAAAACATAGACTGATCGCATCTCATCTAGCGTGCATCAGCAGGATGGTTCTCGCTTTGAACGTGAACAAACCTTCTGAATCTTCTGCTGGTATTCCACAGCCTTCCTCTTGAGGTCCTCGCTGGTCTGGCGAGACTCTTTCAGCTCGGATTCGTACAGGTCGCTGCGGCGGCGAGCGGCGGACAGGTTCTCCTCCAGCTGACGAATAGAAACGCGCATTTCCTCCAGCTGAGCGTGGTACTCCTGCAGGGTCATAAATGGTTAAAATGGCACTTTAGTTACTGTTCTCTGTGTCCATGTCTATAAAGAACAGAAACACGGTCAAAATGTTTTATTATTTAGCTCATATGGACAAGTACTGTAAGTAGCAGATGCTTTTATCCAAAGTTTTACAGTGCAATTTGTTTATTGAGATACAATTTGTTAAATATATCAAATAAAACTGTGTTTGTTGTTGAGCATCATATTTGATACATGAGGCTTTTACGGCTCATATAGTGTCATATGATAAAACATAAACATGCCAGTTTTATTCAGAGGCCAAATCTGAGCAAAAATATGCAATTTGGTGCAGATACTGATATTTTTATGACCAAAAAAAGTATGAAAATCCTGACTATTTGATGCATTTGAACATGATTTTTCTAAAAACAAAATAAAAAAAAACATCTATTAATAATCAAGTAAACCTACTTCAGTCCAGTAAGTGTTCATCTTGAAATATTACTAACGATATAAAAGTTATTACGTTTATTTCAAAAAATCAGCAAAGATTTTACAGCAAAAAGACATGTGAAGCATGACCTGAAAGTGGACATTTTTTGCAATTATACTAAAAGGCCTTATAAAAAAAATCTAAACTATCAATCAGATGACAGAAAGCATGTAGTAGATTATGTGCATCAGGTTTTTCATCAAAGATTTGACAACCTTGATCATTTAAAGGCATTTATAAGGTTATATTATTTTAATATTCCTGTGTTCGACACGGCAAACCATTCATATGGGTAACAGTGTTGCCAACTTAGCAATTTTGTTGCTAGATTTAGCAACATTTCAGACTACCCTAGCAACTTTTTCTTCCAAAAGCACCTAGCAACAAATTTAGCTATTTTTAAAAATTTATTTGGCAACATTTAGCAACTTTTGATAAGTGACTCAAACGATAAAAAAGGCACACATTCTCCATCTAAATTACACAAAAAGAGGAAACCAAAGGTGCCTAGCAGTACACAATTCCAACGTGATCTCATGATAATTCGTATGTATTTTACGTAAAATGTGGATCTATAAAACGTACATTTACTTACGTATTTTCAGCCTCTAAACGTACAAATACTTACGTATTTTCAGCCTCTAAACCAGGGGTGTCCAAACTACGGCCCGCGGGCCAAATGCGGCCCGTGGATGAATGTTAAGCGGCCCGCAGCTGTCTTAATAGTCTATATTAGGCCTATATATGGCCCGCCAAGCATAATTTACAAAATAGGCCTATGCAGTTTCAAAATGTCAACACAAGATGGCAGCACTAAATTTTAGACCAGATGTAGCAGTAAAACGTGAGTGATATCAATTTGATAACTCATATGCGCTCTCATTTCTTTAGCGCACGCGAATTCCTAAACGCGTCAAAAGCGGAAGAGCGCGACTCGTTTGAACCGCGCTGCACGGACCGTTAT